CCCTCCTTGGGCCAGACACATAAGGAAGGCAGCAGGAAGAGCCGGCCCCATTTGCCAGCCTCCCAGGGCAGGAAAGGCCAAGCCACAAGCCTCCAACAGGTGTCTGGCCTGACTCTTCTCCCTTCCCCAGGCTGGCACCAAGGGGCATTCTCAGCTGATGTCACTCCTCTCTGTCACATGGGAGTTGGGCTTATCCCAGGCACAGGCCAGGCAACCATGCTTACCTGGGCACCAAAAGGGAGTCACCGTAAGAGGGGAGCCTGCAGCATTTTCACCTGGCTTTGAACCAGGGACCCTTTCTGTGTGTTAGGCAAACGTGAGAACCACTACACCACAGAAAAGCCATTTTCTGAAGGACTTAAACTTGGAAAAATTTTCTGTTATTAACTCTTGGCAAGGCAAGGCTCCCCAGCCGGGGGAGGGGCAGGGCAGGGAACATGACAGCCCCTCACCCCCTTTGGTCTAGACCTTCATTTATAACACTAGGAAGGTGACAGGGGCAACTCACATCACATAGCCAGCATTTCTCCCCCCACCCCACCAGGATGGACCTTTGGGGGCAAGTCCAAATTCCCCCACCTTCTCTCACACTAACAAGCAGAGCAGCCCCCCACAGGTAGGGGTGAGCCATGGGGCACTGGGTGAGGGGTAGGAGCTGAGAGTTTACCTGTGACCCAGCACAAGGTACCATCCCAGGCATCTTTGAGTCCTGGTTGATTATAGAATGACTATGAGCCGCCATTGTGACATGGCTGTGAAAAAGGCTAATACGATGTTGGGATGTATTAGGCGAGGTATTTCCAGTAGGGATAAGGAGGTGTTAGTGCCATTATACAAGGCATTGGTGAGACCCCATTTGGAATACTGTGTGCAGTTCTGGTCTCCCATGTTTAAGAAGGATGAATTCAAACTGGAACAGGTACAAAGAAGGGCCACTAGGATGATCCGAGGAATGGAAAACCTGTCTTATGAAAGGAGACTCAAGGAGCTTGGCTTGTTTACCTTAACCAAAAGAAGGCTGAGGGGAGACATGATTGCACTTTTTAAATATATTAGAGGGATAAATACCAGGGAGGGAGAGGAATTATTTAAGCTCAATACCAATGTGCACACAAGAACAAATGGATATAAGCTGGCTAGTAGGAAGTTTAGACTTGAGATTAGACGAAGGTTTCTAACCATTAGAGGAGTGAGGTTCTGGAACGGCCTTCCAAGGGAAGTAGTGGGGGCAAAAGATCTATCTGGTTTCAAGATTAAACTAGATGGGTTTATGAAGGGGATGGTTTGATGAGATAACAGGATCTTGGTAACTAATTGACCATTCATTATCAGTGGGAAATAGGTCAATGGAGGGATGATAGGAGTTACTATAGAGAACTTTCTGGGTGTCGTGTCTGGTGAGTCTTGCCCACATGCTCAGGGTTTAGCTGATCGCCATATTTGGGGTCGGGAAGGAATTTTCCTCCAGGGTAGATTGGCAGAGGCCCTGGAGGTTTTTCGCCTTCCTCTGTAGCATGGGGTACAGATCACAGCTAGAGGATTCTCTGCATCTTAGGATCTTCAAAGTATTTGAATGCTTCAATATCTTTGATATAGGTGAGAGGATTATTCTAAGAGGGGTGGGTGAGATTTTGTGGCCTGCACTGTGCAGGGAGTCAGACTAGATGATCATAATGGTCCCTTCTGACCTTAAAGTCTATGAATCTATGAGGTTGGGGGGGAGGGGTCATTGACCCACAGAAGAACAATTGGGGATCACACAAGTGAGAAGTAAAAAAAAACTTCCCCAACACTCACTGATGTGGCCCACAACTGAGAGACCTCACTCCTCTGGTACTCCAGTCTCACAAGGTGAGGGGAAGGGACAGAGAGGACTGACATTCAGGGCTTCCCATAGGCCAGATTTACTTTTTTGGGGTGCCAGAGCTATTAGATTTTATGGACCACCTTAGGCTCTGGGGTAGGGACAAAAATGAGGGGTTCAGTGTGGCTTCAATATCTGAGATATAGGTGAGAGGATTATTCTAGGAGGGGTGGGTGAGATTTTGTGGCCTGGACTGTGCAGGGGGTCAGACTAGATGATCATAATGGTCCCTTTTGATCTTAAAGTCTATCTCTCTGACAGAAGCTTGTTGTCCTGATTGGGGGTGTGACCAACACACAGGCCTCACTGTGAGCAAGATCTGAACCTGCACAGGGAAACCCCTATTAGATTTCTAATCTAGAACCTTAACCACTCAGCTATCATGGCTGTTTCTCTGCCACAAGTTGTCTTGGGTGGACACCTGGGACACTTAGGTCTCAGACTGGCCACTGCACTTCTGGCTTCCCACCAGTTGCTTCATCTCTCAGGACACTCTGGCTACGTCTACATGGCACATTTATTTTGGAATAAGCTATTCTGGAACAGCTTATATCAAAATAGCTTATTTCAAAATAGCACATCTACACTGCAGGGAAACCTCAGAATAGTCTCAGGCAGGCTCCCCTAATGTAGACAAGCTATCTCGATTTAGAGCCCCAGGAAGAATAACTCAGAATGGCCTTGGGAGGAGCTAGTTCAAACTGGCAGCAGTGGCGCATCTACAGATGCCTTATTTTGAAATTGCTAATTTGGAACAGGCATTATTCTTCGTAGAATGAGGTTTGCAGAAGTCAGAATAAGCCGTCCGTTATTTCAGAATTATTTCAAAATAATGGAATTGCTGCGTAAACTCTTGCATTGTTATTTCAGAATTATAGCCATTATTCCAAAATAACTTTTCTGTGTAGACATAACCTTTGTCCTGCCCCAGCTCTGCTGCTTTCTGGACAAATTCTTTGTTAGAACCAGTCTCAATCTGGGGTCAGTAAGGGTCCCTTCTACCTGAGATTTGTGTTGTACAAAAGCCACTTGTTCCCTGCCCAGTTTTCAACACTGGCTGCAGACACCTGCCCCCTGGAGCTACAAGTCTCTGTGAAACACAGAGGTGGCTTCCACCTGCTAAAGACACAAGGCAGGATTCTCTGGTTCTAGGACCATTCATTGGTTTTTAGCCTTTCACAGTTACAGTCTAACAAGGCCCCCCTCTGAAGGGAGCGACTATGTGGCCTCCAAACCTTCTGTTTGCTGTGGCTCAGACACAAGGGCCCAGATTCAGCAAGAGTCACAGGCCCCACAGGAGGGGGCTGGTTTGATACTTCACCCCATGGCCCAGCAATGAGCCCCCAAACTTCCCCTGTGCTCTGAGAGGCCGGTTTGCTGTGTGAATTCTGTGGGGCAGGTTATGTCAGGCCTGGGCACAAGCAGGGTTCATAACCAACCCACAAATAATTCCCCGCTCAAGTGGATTGAGCAATGTCCTTTGCCAGCAATGTAAGCAATGTAAGTCCAGCCATGTAAGTGTCCCACTCACATACCCAAACTTTCTCCGTATCCCACTCACAGTTGCTGCCCTTGCTTAGGGCAGATAAGAGCTCAGAGGTGGTTTTCAGAGCTCACCTCCCACTCTTGGGGGGGGGGTAGGAGGCATCTCACCCACTCCGTTGGCCACTTGCCACTGCTTCTACCAGCCACCCGCCAGCCACTCCCTCCAGCCACCCCATCCATGCTGCTGTGGGTGCCAGTGTCTCACCACACAGTAAAATCAGACCAGAGGCAGACATTGTCAGTAAACGCTTCTCTTGGAAATACGCCTCTGGATGCTGGGCCTCCCTCCCCCGCCCACCAGAGCTGTGTGCCGCTGCCATCTGCCTGCTCCATGGAAGTCTTCCCATTACAGAGAGCGCTCTGAGCCAGGCTGTGACTAGCCAGCCCGTCTCTGGGCATGTGGTGGCTACGTCTACACTGCAGGCTTCTTGCGCAAAAACTTGAGGAGCATCTACACTGCACGCTCATTCTTGTGCAAGTAAATTTATGGCAAAATGTAGGAAAAGATGGCTTCTTGCGCAAGAGTTATTCCTCTCCCCATGAGGAATAAGCCCTCTTGTGCAAGAGCTCTTTCACAAGAAGGCAGTATGGATGGGCAACAGGGGTTTCTTGCACAAGAAAGCATGCACGCTGCCATGGACATTCTTGGCAAAAGCACATGGCAGTGTGGATGCACTCTTGCACCTAACCGTTCTTACGCAAGAAGGGTGCAGGGTAGATGTAGCCATGGGGTGTTTGGGTTTGTTACCAGCACTGAGCTTTGTACAACAGCCCAGGGAACATTGTGAAAAGCCAAAACCTTCCCACCCTGGGTGTCCCTGGCCAGCCAGCAAGTGGCACAAAGGTTCCCTGAAGTGTTGACTTTGGGAGGTTTGAAGCAAGTGCCTGCAGCTCAGATGAGGTGGCCGAGTAGTTAATGCAATGGACTGTTAATCCAGTGTACTCTGCACGCATAGGCTCAAATCCCATTCTCATTGGGTGTTTGCAACCCTCTCTCCTGCTTCTCCCAGAAGTTCAGTGCCAACGCTGCCTAACCCTGCCCACTACAGCCTGGGGAAAGGGGAAATCTCCACAGAGAAGCTCTCAGATATGACCCTCAATCCCTTCAGCCCTCAAGGGGAAACCTCACAAAGGAGATTCCAGGCAGCCAGGTCATGGGGGTCTCTGAGATGCCCCAGCCCTGCAGCCTGTCCCACCTGACTGTTGCCATGGACCCTCTGTGAGTGAGTTCACTGCTTCCCAACCAATGAGCTGAGGTGATGCACAAGTCCCTTGTGATGTCACTGCTGCCTTGCAGGGCTCACGTCCTGCCCCAGTCAGTCTCTTGGCATGTGGGAGCTGCTCCCTCTGTGTCACCCCTATTCCTATTCATTCGGGGCTGGTTCTGGTTCTGGGGCTCACGGAACATCAGGGGCTGATCAGCGCAACATGTGGGAGGGGGTGCATGTGTTCCTCTGGCTCAGCTTTCCCCTTTCTCCTATCCCAGAAATTGCCCTGTTGTAAAGTGGAGATGAGGGATGGTGTGAGTTATAGGGCCTGTTGGACTTCTAAGCTGTGAGGCTCAGTATGAGCCAGGCCAGTTGTTCAAAGATTGTGGGTTCAAATCCCACCAGAGTCAATTTAGCTGCTTTCTGATTTCCAGGGCAGCTTTTACAGAACAGCCTGGACCTGCCCCTGTTGCATGATGGGAGTGACAGGGAGCTTGTGATCCTGTGATTCCAGGACCTCCATGTGAGACTCCCTTGGGGAGGGTCACAGCACACAGGAGAAAGCCCCTAGGTACCACATGCTGGCCACCGAGACCTGCTCCATGGTTGTGTCAGTGCTTTGGGTGAGAGAGACATGCCTGGGAGCATAGGCCCTGCCCTGCCTGGTGGAGGTCGTCCAGCAGGAAAGGCCCTCCGTGGACCGCTGGCTTGTCCTGGGGGAGGGAAGGGGCCAGACCAGGCGGGTGGGGGGGTGGAGGCTGTAGGGGCAGGGGAAGTCCCACACCCAGGGGGTCATGCTGTCCCTCCTGCACACAGCCTCGCTGAGAACCCTGGGGGGAAGAGGGCCCTGGCCTGCATGGAGGGAGGGGCCATCAAAGGGAGGGTGAGCACACCCCAGGGGCTCATGAATGCACTGTGTCTCATTCCATGCATCCCCTGTGCTCCCATTTGCCCCTCTGCAGGTCGTCCATGCCACCAATGACGTGCTGCTCCAGAGGGTCATCCGCCCCCGTGACCTGGATGCCACCATTGCTGGCTTCACCAGCCTTGGGTTCCCAAACTGCGGGGGAGCCATAGACAGGACTCACATCCCCAACCGGGTGCCAAAGCACCAAGCAGCCCAGTTCATAAACCGGAAGGCCTACTGCTCGGTGGTGCTCCAGGTGCTCGTGGACCACCAGAGCCAGTTCCAAGACATATACGTGGGGTGGTCTGGCAAGCAGGGGTGGTCCTAGACTAGCTGCCAGCAACTGGTGCCCTAGGCGAACCATGTAATCGGCGCCCCCACCTCCAAACCCCACAATGATATTGCGCCACCATTTGGCACCCCATTTAACTTGGTGTCCTAGGCGACCTCCTACTTTGTCTATATGGATGGGCCAGGCCCACGGCGCTCGCATCTTCAGGCACTCAGGCCTGAACCACAGGCTGGAGGCGGGCACCTACTTCCCCCAGCAGAAATTCACCATTGGGGACGTCAGGATGCCGGTCTGCATCTTGGGGGATGCAGCCTAGCTGATGCGGCCATACTGGACCACAGCCAGGCCACCTTCAACTCCCACCTGGACCGGGCCTGCAACCCCGTGGAGTGTGCCTTTGGGCATCTGAAGGCACGGTTCAGGTGTCTCCTGACCTGCCTGGACATGGGGATGCAGCACATCCCGGAGGTCATCTCGGCATGCAGTGTGCTGCACAATATTATTGAGGGGAAGAGGGAGGCCTTCCTCCTGGGGTGGATGGCAGGTGAGAGCCAGGCCTACCAGCAGCCCCAAACGGCTACTACCCGGCAGACCAATTGCCACGGGGTGCAGGTCCAGGAAGCCCCCCAGGTGATGCTGGACCAGGCCCCACAATAGGTTCCCCCTACACCTCTAACCGCAGGGATGCCCCCGTACTCCCACTTCCCACTCCCATCACCACCCCTTCCCACCACCCTTCCCTCACCTCCCAATAAATAAAATGCACTTGCTTTATATAATGCAGTTTTATTTACAAGGGGAAAGGGCTGCACTGTGGGGAGGGGGGGAGGAGGGGGCCCTGACCTGGGAGGGCCTCATGGGTGTGAGAGGAGGCCACATCCCCCCCCCCCCCACCCCAGG